TTGCACGACATGGGTGCACTTACCTACATGCAGGCAATACACGCATACACATAAAATTAAAAAAAAAATAAATATTTTTTTAAATTATGCTATATATGTATGTATAAGGTGTACATGAAACCTAAATAAATTGTGGTTTGACTTGGATCCCATCTCCAAGATAGTTGTGGAATGCAAATATTCCACAATCCAAAATCTGAAACTCTAAATCCAGGCATTAAGATAAGGATAAGGAATACTAAACCTTTATAGATTTTGGAGAAGATAATAGTAATCTTAAATTAAAGGCATGGGTAATTGGCCTAGATTCTACATAGCCTAAACACTAGTAAGGTTTGCTTTTGGATAGAAAGATCACACTTGTTTTTGTACCAAATTTGAGGGATAGCGATTCCTGATCTCTGGGAAGAATAATGATTTTAATAAAGTAGCAAAGAATAATTTTATTTTGTTTTGGAAGATGGAGTAGATTGCTATAGGTACCCCCTCCCCCACTCCCCATTTTCTTACTCCATCTTCTATCTTTTGCTTTTAAATGATGAAAAGGAGACCAAAAACTCAAGATATCACCCAATAGAGTGACCTAGAAGACATGAGCAAGAAACTTTGGAGGCTTTTTTTTCTTTTTCAGCATACATACATACTCTCACTCTTGTAAGCTGCTGCCTAAGATGGGCAATGTGATCATGAGGCACCATAGAAAATGTATTCTTCATTTGCAGATTCACTTTCTTTTGACCACTTAGTGACTATATCTAGAATTATACTAAGTTTATGTCAACATTTTATCTTTTGAACCTGTTTTGTCCACAATATGAAGATAGTATCTTTAGAGTTGAAACTTTAGAAAACCAAAAAAACTGAGATGACTTTGTAGCATAGGTTATTGAACAGTGAGTGTCTTAAGACTTCAAAAGTAGATTCATCATACAATTTTTTAGATATGAAGGATACTTGAAAGGATCCTTGTGTGAGAGTTTGTTATGCCTTTAATCTTATCAGAGATTCTGTGGATCATAGTTATTCCTTTTGTTAATAATTCATTAATAACTACAATTGCTTATTAAAGTAAAAGAATTGGATGAAATTTTGAGACCAGTTTTCTTTCACATATCTATGATGCAGAAATGAATTTAGTTTCTAAGATTCTCTGTTTCCAAACTATACAATGAAGAGGTTGACATTAGTCCAGAATATCAGATGATAGCATCCAATTACAGATTATCCTGAATAGAAAAACTCCACTTCTTTTTTTCCTTTACATCTGAAACATAGACTTTAAAGACAAAACAAAATAAAACAACCCTTATAAAAATGAAGCCCCTGTCAAGGGAGAGGAGTTAGCAAGAGAATTTTATCTTTACAGAATTTCTCTTTGCCACTTGTTTCAGGTTAATGGTAAGAGTTACCCGCAGGCTAAGTTGCTATTGGGACAGATGGGGGCATTGCATCCAGCCAATAGGCTAGCTGCTTATATCACAGGCAGGTTGCGACCCTCAGTCCTGGACCTCTCAACCCTCAGTACTGTCATCTCCAAGGTAGCATCCAATGCCAAGGTGGCTGCGTCCAGGAAACCACGCACCCTGTTGCCTTCAACATCCAATTCCAAAATGGCATCCTCCTCCGGCACAACGACAAATCGCCCTGGGAAGAATCTGAAGGCATTTGTCCCAGCAAAAAGGCCAATTGGTAAGTTAGAGATAATACATGGTTTGGAAAGGCCTGTGATTTAGTGTTGCATTACATTAATGTCCATAAGTATTCTGATGACCTGTAATATTAGATTAATTGAACTTTAGTTTTACAGTTACTTTAAAGACAGACTGGTTATATCAATGTAGAAAAGACTTAAGACTTCGCTTTTATATATTTTTTCTAGTGTTTTTCCAGTGAGGATTGGGTTTTTGTTTTTGAATTCCAGGCGTATGCATATTCCTTGGAATTATGAGTCTTGAGCTGGCAAGAACTAGTGGAGTAGGTCGGTATAGGCTTAAAATAGAAGGTTCTTTTACAACAATTTAAAAATATACTGCATTGTTTTATACAATTCCTGTCTTAGAAGTGAATACTTCTTTTGCTTAATATTTTAGTGCTATAGTCTGAACTAAATTGCCTTCTTGAAGCATTTCTTTTAGCCTTGAAAGTATCTACAGTTGGCTTGTTGTTTCAAATCTGTTTAAGAGTGTTAAGTAAAAAATGTCAATTTTGTCTTCATTTTTATTCCTTTAACAGGAAATCTGGCTGAAAGCTGGAGTGAAGATATAGGATGGGCATTTTATGCCTTAAAAATAACCTATTTTTGCCTCTTTAGAAAGCAGTTTTAATTGCAATTTCAAATAAAAAAGCAGTCCTACCCTTTTGAAAATATGTGTATATTTTAAAAATATGCAGTACTTACCTGTCTCATAAGACAGCCATAGGAGTTACGAAGGCAAGAGGACATAGTAGAAACAAGTTTTCAAATTTGAATTAGAGGGGAAAAAAATACTATCCTCTAGTGTTCTGACAATTTAAATATGTTATGTAGCCTAAAGAATTTTATAACTTAGAATTAGCAGGCTTTGCTTTGGGTTGAGGAAAGTGTTTGATTTCTGTGGGTGGAAACTGGCATGTGCAGGTGGATAGTAACTTTTAAGAATTCACCCAGTGGTGCACAACTAATGTTGATAAGCACAATCACTGTGGAGGGCAAAATAAGAGAACTGAAGATTTTTGACCTGCAAATTTTTATTTGCAGCGGCTCGACCCTGTCCTGGTGGTGTGTTCACACAGTTTGTGATGAGTAAAGTTGGAGCCTTGCAGCAGAAGATCCCTGGAGTTAGCACACCCCAACCCCTGACAGGGCCACAGAAGTTCAGTATCAAACCTTCTCCAGTAATGGTCGTCACACCTGTGGTTTCTTCTGAGCCAGTTCAGGTGTGCAGCACTGTGACTGCTGCTGTCACTACTTCCCCTCAAGTGTTTTTAGAAAATGTTACTGCTGTGACTTCTGTGACTGCTATTTCTGACTTGGGAGCTAAAGAAACTACTTATTCCTCTGGTGCCACCACGGCTGGGGTTGTTGAGAGCTCTGAAACTAATACCAATACCCCTGTAACATCTACCCAGTCTACAGCCACTGTGAACCTTACCAAAACTACTGGGATAACTACCCCTGTGGCTTCAGTTGCATTTCCCAAATCATTGGTAGCATCTCCTCCAACCATAACTCTTCCTGTTGCTTCCACTGCCTCCACCTCCATAGTCATGGTGACCACAGCTGCATCTTCCTCCATGGTGACTACATCTACTTCATCTCTGAGCTCTGTTCCTATTATACTCTCAGGAATTAATGGGAGTCCACCTGTGAGCCAGAGACCAGGTAAGTCCTAGGTGTTACCAATTGCTTTACTGTGCAGCTACTTAATACAGTTTTTTAGTTGTAATAGAATCAGGGGTGTCCATCTTGACATTGTCATCTACAAATGTTTTGGGGCTGAAGTCATAGCTATCCTGGGATGCATGAAGCCCATAGGTTGGACACACCTGAATGCATATTAGGGTTAACACATACCATGTTTCTGCTGTAATGTGATATGTTATGTTTCTGAAAAACTTGGCATTCTATAAAACTGAATCCTAAAAATAACAGAGTTCATGGATATAGGAATCAACTCCTAAAGATAATCTGAATAGGTTAGTGGTGCTGGAGTTTGCCCTAGGAGGGACTTAAAAATTCTTTAAAAGCATTAGAATGGAAATGATGGCTGGAAGACACTAAACAATCTAAATGGTACTAGAGTTTTGAGTCATTAAACAGCCATTAAAGTGATATGGAAGTGCAACATGCTACGTGTTTAAGAGCTAGGACTGCAGTTCTTTGGTGGGTTTTTTTTTTTGGGGGGGGGGTCTTTTCGAGACAGCGTCTCCCTGTAGCCCCAGCTGGCCTGGAACTCACTCTGTAGACCAGGCTGGCCTTGAACTCACCTGAGTGCTGGGATTAAAGGTGTGTGCCACCACGCCCGGCCTGTTTTTTTTTTTTTTTTAATTGAATTTTTGTGTATTTTGTACAGAACATTTTTTTTTTTTTCCTACAGAACATCTTAACTCTATACCCCTTCCCCATTGGTATCCTCCTATACCTCCCCCACCTCTACTGGAATGCATAGATTTTGTTATTTGTGTTAAGGTCTATCATGTCAAGTTAGTGTTCTCAGATGACCCTCAGTACAAGTTCATCCACTGGCCGTCTAGTCAGCCTATCTAGAGTCCCTCCCTTTAAGATCAGCTGGGCCGGGTGTGGTGGCACATGCCTTTAATCCCAGCACTCGGGAGGCAGAGGCAGGTGGATCTCTGTGAGTTCAAGGCCACAAGGCCAGCCTGGTCTACATAGTGAGTTCCAGGACAGCTTGGGGCTACAGGGAGACCCTGTCTCAAAAAGACCAAAAACTAAAAAAAAAAAAAAAAAGAAGAAGATCAGCTCTTCCTCACCCAGCAGTAATCAGCTACCAATAATTCTTGAACTAAGGTTGGGTCAGCTGTCCATTTTCACAATTCTGTGCTGGGTTGCTGTCTACCTGAGTTTGCATGGGTCTTGTGCATGCTGACACCATTGCTGTAGGTTCATATGAGCAGGGACGCAGGAGCCTATAGGACTCTATTTCCATATGGTCATGCACCATGTCCCTCGCTCTTAAAATGTTTCTGCCCCCTCTTCTGCAGTGCTCCCTGAGCCCTGGGTAGGTGGATTTTAATATAGGAGTCCTGTCCAAGGACCCATACTCTACAGACTCTTATTCTCTACATTTTGGCCATTTGTGACCTTTTCTGGTTTTGGCCCTTTGTTGCATTAGGGAGCTTTGTTGATGAGAATTGAGAGACGCATTAATGTTCTCTTTATCCCTTGTTCAATGTTCCATGAGCCTTAGAGTATGCAACTTGGCGGCAGAGTACTTGCCTAACTTACATGAGGTTCTGCATTCAAATCCAGTACGGAAGAAAAAAGACTGGTAGTTTTTTCTATATGTAATTAAAATTGAAATGGAAATTAATTTTTCTGACAATAATAAATAGCATTAAGAAATTTTTATTCATTGTTTTTTGTAATTTTTATTTTTTTAATATAAAGCTAACTTAGTTATGTAACTGCCACTTTTAAAGCTGTGTATGTGTGGTTTTGTTCTCAGATCATAAAGGGAATCTCAGCTTGGGCACTTTGTGACCTTTTCATTTGTCTTGGAAACTCAAAATTTGTTTTTCAGCAATGTCATATTAGTGCACCAGTTTGAATAAAATGCTATTCTATCACTGTATTTACTGTTAGCTTTATAAAACTTTTCTTTTCTTTTTATTTTTTGCTTTTTGAGACAGGGTCTCTTTGTAGCCCCAGTTGGCCTAGAACCTGCTTTGCCTCTGTCTCCCAAGTGCTGGGATTAAAGGCGTGCATCACCACGTCCGGCTATACCTTATTTCTTTATCCTTATAACCCTAAATTTTTTTTTAACTGTCTTGCCCCCCCCCAACCAGACCGTATTTCTTTTCTTTGAATTCTCATAATTTCATGTCATTGAAATGGGAAAGGTGTTTTTGTTTTGTCCCACAAATACTTAAACTTCGTGATTGTTAATTTTAATGCAAAGAAACATGTCATATACTTCATTAACTTTATATTTTGAAAGTAGAAGCTGTGAGACCAAATCATAACACTAACTTTGAAGTTGAAGAAGAGAAGAAGAATTATATCATAATCTCTTGAACTTAAATGTAAATCCAGATTGAGTGTTTTGCCCAGGCTTTTTGTTAGATAAAAGCATTGTCTTTTGAAATATACCTCTTGACGATGCATTTCTTTTTAAACCATTCTGAACATAACACTCTACAGTGTTTGGGCAATATCTGGCACAATTGCATGGTGGGTCTCAGGACCTACATGGTGATTCTTCTCTGACCTATACACAGCACACACACATGGAGGGCTGGAGGTGGGGTAGGAGATAATTTTAAAATTAAAAACATGAATAGTTCTTAGCTATAAATAGTGCATTATTTCATCAGCTTTTTAATTCAAGTCAGACATTACTTGCAGCCTTGTCATAATATTTTTTCTATATGTTTTAAAGATAGATTCTGATAGTTTCTTACTATTTTCCTGATTTTCAGAAAATGCCCCTCAAATTCCAGGGACTACTCCACAGATATCTCCTAACAGTGTGAAACGTACTGGACCTCGATTGCTGCTGATTCCAGTGCAGCAAGGTTCCCCTTCGCTTAGACCTATCTCAAACCCACAACTTCAGGGACAGCGGATGGTCTTGCAACCTGTGAGAAGTCCAAGTGGAATGAACTTGTTTAGACACCCCAATGGGCAGATTGTCCAGCTCCTCCCTTTACATCAGATTCGAGGGTCTAATACCCAGCCCAACTTACAGCCTGTTGTATTTCGGAACCCAGGTATAAAGTTAGAGATCTTCCTGATGAATTGTGTTGCTGTTGTTATGTTGTTGAATAACTTGACCAAATGTATGTTTGACATATCAGATTATTATTTTTAAATCTCTTAAACTACAAAACAGACCTTAGAAGCCTTGATGTGAACAATGATGATTTAAAGTTTTTTTTTTTTTTTTTTTTTTTTTTTAAACCAGGATCTGTGATGGGAATTCGATTACCAGTTCCTTCCAAATCTTCTGAAACTCCATCATCTTCTCCCTCATCCTCTGCTTTCTCTGTCATGAGTCCTGTAATTCAGGCTGTTGGGTCTTCTTCAGCAGTAAATGTCATTACTCAGGCACCATCAGTGCTTTCCTCTGGACCTAGTTTTGTCTCTCAGGCTGGTACATTGACTCTGAGGATTTCCCCTCCTGAACCTCAAAGCTTTGCAAGTAAAACAGGTTCTGAAACCAAAATAACATATAGCTCGGGAGGACAACCTGTTGGTACTGCTAGTCTTATTCCTCTTCAGTCAGGTAGTTTTGCCTTGTTGCAGCTCCCAGGACAAAAGACTGTTCCTAACTCCATTCTTCAGCATGTTGCTTCCCTTCAAATGAAAAAAGAATCCCAGAATGCAGACCAGAAAGATGAAACAAACTCTATAAAAAGAGAACAGGAAACTAAGAAAGTTGTACAGTCAAATGAAAAAGCTATAGATCCTGAAGCTAATATAAGTAAGCAAAACTCAGAAATTATTACCTCGGAAGAAACCTTGACTGATGCCTTGGATGATGAGGGTGATCATGTGGATGAAGAATCCCTTGCAGAAGATGGTCTCACAACTGTCAAACCTGAAAACTCTTGCATCACTGAGCCTCACACAGATGAAGACTATAAAGATGTTAATGAAGAGTCTAGGGATAGCAATCAGAATAGTTCCAAGGAAAAATGTACTGTTCCAGAAGTTAAGACCATTTCTGAAAAGGTCAATAATTTGACAGTTCAGAATATAAGTAAAATACAGCCTCAGAAGTGTGATGGGACAGTGGAGCAGCAAAAAGGATCAGACAATCCAGAGGAAAACCCAAATGAATTTCTTGTCATTTCTGAGGAAGAACGTAAATTTGAATTATCAGGGAGCCAAATTAAGGAACAGCAATCTCATTCACAGCCAGAAGCTAAGGATTGTGTAGACTCTGTGGGGAAGGACAGAGAAAGATGGAAAAAACACCTAAAGGGTCCTTTAACTCGGAAATATATTGGAATTTCACAAGAATATAAGAAAGAGGCAAGCATGCAGTTCTTTAGAGAAACAAAGCCATGTCAAGAAACTTCCAGTGTGTTTCAAGAGCAGGGCATCTCTGACTCACTTGGAAGAAGTGGAACTACTGAGAGTGACAAACTTTTAAAACCTGCGTGTGATTTGTGGCATGGCATTTCTAGTTCTGCAGCCTTCTCAATTGTTCCTAGGAGAGCTACAAAAGCAAGCAGAGGGAACGGACATTTTCAGGGTCATTTTCTGCTACCAAGAGAACAGATAAAACCAAAGCAAGAGAAGAAGGGTGGGAGAAGCAGTGCAGACTTCACTGTTTTGGATTTGGAAGAGGAGGATGAGGAGGATGAGAATGAGAAAACTGATGATTCTATTGATGAGATTGTGGACGTTGTTTCTGGCTACCAGCGTGAGGAGGTTGATGCAGAAAAGGTGATGAGCCTATTTTTATTGTGACTGAAACTTTGTGTATTTAAATGATTAGAGATGCTAATTTTTCTAGAGCACTAAAACAGTACATTCATTTGGATGCTAGGTTTAGACCATTCAGATGACTCTGGTTTTAAAAGTGTGTCAATCAGGCAATATTCTTTGAGTCTGTCATTTTGGTAAGAGTGGCTTGATCCTTTTGAGGTACAGGTAGTTACAGAGTCCCTAACAAGTTGGAGTTTTGAAGATCTTTGAAAGTTCTACAATCAGCTGATCCCAGTAGCTTCTGTCACATTGAGATAAGATTGAAATTTATGATACAAACAATGAATGGTTAACCCTTGAACTAGAGGAGGACCAATTTGCCTGTATTTAGAGAGAAATTTTTCTCCTTAGAAAAACTGGAAAGTACCACCTAATGTTTTAATATAGTCCTGCTTTAAAGTTGCTTTTTATACTGGGGCTGGAGAGATGGCTCAGCAGTTAAGAGCACTGGCTGTTCTTGCAGAGGACCTGGTTTCAATTCTCAGCACCCACATGGCAGCTAGCAACTGTTCGTTTCTCCAGTTCCAGGAGATCTGACACCTTCTTCTGACCTCTGAAGGCATGCATGACATTGGTGTACTTACACAGGCAGTAGATGTAATGAGTATTACATAAAATTAAGTATAACTAAAATTAACTATGTTGTAGTTATAATTTATATTCTAGACTTTGACCATTGTCCTTTATAATGTGACCTTTATAGTTTTATGCTTTAATTTGCTTGAGGTATTTTTGACAGGTTTCCCGTTTGGAGGTCAGTTAACTGAATTAAGCAACTGAGGGTCAGGTATGATGTAGGTATGATGTAGGGAAAGAGTTAGATAAACCTTTTCAGTACAGAACCAGATAGTAAATATTTTAGACTTTACAAGTTAGATTACATCACTGCTGTGGTAGTATGAAAGCAACCACAAATACGTAACTGAATGAGTGTAGCTTTGTTCTAGTAAAACTATAAAAATTGGTGATGGACTCTGCTTTCCTGAGCAGAAGGTCTGATATTAAACATTTAAGGATATCAGACAGCTGCTTCAGGGTGCCTGGAAACTTAAAAACTGTCTACTTTCTTCAGGAGCAGATGATAAAATCTCTGTACAATTTGTCATATTTCAGAATCTCACTTCCTTGAGATTTAACTCCTGTCAACTGTTATTTCCTTATTAATATTTAAATGCCTTGTAAAATACAACAAAAAGATAGTTCAGAGCTCTAATAAAATAGCAGGGTGTGGTCATGCTATTTAATCCCAGTTTTAATCTCAGTACATGGGAGGCAGAAACTAGTGGATCTCTAAGAGTTTGAGGCCAGCCTGGTGTATATATAGTGAGACCCTCTAAAACATTTTAATATTCTTGTATTATTTCTGTAAGTCAGTTGTCTCATTTAAAATAAGTATATAGCTTTAAAATTGGATAATTTATATATGCATTTGCCTTATGCTTTTTCTGTAGGCTAGTCAGTCCTTTTCAGGAACATATATCCAAGAATATTGAGTTTCTAAGGGTTACATTGCAGAACTTGTACTTTTGTAGTCAATCTGGGTAACATTAGAACAAAAAACAGTACAACTTGAAAACTAGTGAAAACTATTGTAGTCAGTAGAACTGACAATAGAACCTGTAGAATGCCTTAATCTTACCAGGAGATGTTGCTTGAATGTACTAATGACAGAAAAGTTACACTGACTTTTTAAAAAATACATGGGACTAGAGAGTTGGCTCAGCAGTTAAGAGCCCTGGCTGCTCTTGTAGAGGACCCGGGTTCAGTTCCTAGCACCCACATGGCAGCTAACAACAGTTTGTAACTCCAGCTCCAGGGGATCCTTCTGACCTGCCTTCTGACCTCTGTGCCCATTGCATGACATGGGTGCAGTTACATATATGCAGGCAATGCACTCAAACACATACACAATATGTGTACAATATGTGTACCAAACTACCACAACAATAAACTCATGCAATAGGCATACATTCTTCCATTTAAGTATTATAAATCATGTACTTACATTAGTAACTCTTTAGATTCTGTTGGTTTTTGCTCCTTAGAGTTAATAAGAATATGTTTAAATTTAACATACACTTTATGCTTAAGTTGGGGTGGGCAGCATAAATGATCTCTATCAGCCTTATGGAGGCTTTAATTTGAGGGTAATTTTTCCAACAACAACTCTAAACATAAGAGTTTTAATACGGTGATTGGGATTCTTCATTTTGAGTTATGCCTCTGAAGTACAGTGTAAATTTATATAAAGATAACACGTGTTTAGTTTCTGGCATAGTGAATACTACTTTGAAAAATAGACTTTAAGGGGCTGGAGAGATAGCTCCAGCGGTTAAGAGAACTGACTCCTCTCGCAAAGGACCCGGGTTCAATGCCCAGCATCTACCTGGCAGCTAACAATTGTCCATAACTACAGTTCCAAGGAATTCAGTGCCCTCTTCTGACCTCTGTGGGCATTGCATGACATGGGTGTACTTACACACATTCAGCCAATGCACTCGTATACATAAAATAAAAATAATAAAAACAGGATTGAGCCGGGCGTGGTGGTACACGTCTTTAATCCCAGCACTCGGGAGGCAGAGGCAGGCATATCTATGTGAGTTCAAGGCCAGCCTGGTCTCCATAGTTTCAGGACAGCTGGGGCTACAGGGAGACCCTGTCTCAAAAAGACTAAAAAAAAAAAAAAAAAAAAAAAAAAAAAAAAACCAGGATAGACTAAAATATCTGGTCAATTTAATACCATCCATATAATTTTGTAAAAGTATTCAGTGAGTTTCTGGGACAGTTGTTCAGTACTTAGTTGCCTCTTTTTTTTTTTTTTTTTTTAATTTTTTGTATTATGAAGAACAATACTTAAGATTTCTTTTGAAACCAGAAATTCCTCAAAAGCTCTTATTCTGGGGGCTGGAGGGATGGTTAAGAGCTTGCAAGAGCGGCAAGTCTGGGTTCAGTTTTCCATACCCGCATGAAAGCTAACAACTGTCTGTAACTCCCAATTCCAGGGACACCTTTTTCTGACCTCAGCAGGAGGCATGGCATGCACATAGTATACTTACATAATGCAGGCAAAACACTCATGCACATAAAATAAATTAAAAAAAATATTTTTAAAAAGGTCTTACTCTGTGGGGTAGGAACTGTGGGATTGTATTCTGCCTTATTTAAGGTAATATATTGATTTGTAAGCATTTGATAGGATATTAATCACAGAACCTTCTTAAATAGGTATTTTCTGTTTTTTGGGAGGTGGGGGTTGAGGGTTCCTGATAAGATACTGAACCCAGGGCCATTTAAGATTTTTCTAAAGCTTTACTACATGCATACCTGAATTTTTGTCCTTTAGAAATATCACAGAAGCATCAAATACAGCTTCTTAGAAACTCTGGTTAATGATAACCTGTTTAATATACATCTATGACTTAATGAAGGTCTTGGTAATCATGTAAAATCTTCATAACTTAATTTCTTTTTATGATTAACAAACTTAGGACTATTAGTATTTGTGTTATAAGATCAGTGTTTGGCACTAGTTGGTTTGATAAGGGAACATTGCATTTGAAAAGTTTAGATGTACATTATTTACTATTGTAATACTGTATTTCAGAATAACTGCGTAGACTATATTGAGGATGATGAGCAGGTGGATGTTGAGACAATAGAAGAGCTCTCAGAGGAAATTAATGTTGCTCACAAGAAGACTGCAGCAACTCACATACATTCATTCAAACAGCCGTAAGTCTTATTTAAATCTTTGGAGTTTTGTTTGTAACTAGAAACAAAACTAAATACTTTGTTTTAATGCTCTGGGTAACCAGTCTGTCTCCATTATTCCTTGAGGTTTATTTTTTTCTGGTTGGTTTTGATGAGTTGAAATTAAGACTAGCATTTGAACATCAGTGTATCAGTCTCTAATGTGCTTTTAGAGACTGATACACTGATGTTCAAATATTAGTCTTATAGTGTATAGTTATTTAACTTTGGACAAATCTAAGTTCTCTGAACCAAAATGTCTCCATTTGGAGAGTTAGAGTAAATAACATACATAATTTGTGTAATATTTAATATGAGTGTGCTACTCAACAAAAGTTAATTCCTTTATATTTTAGGAATAAGGCATTAAATTCTAAATCTAGTTATTTTACTAGCTGAACATGTAGGACACAGGTATGAAAATGTCCCTCCCCATTCCACTGAGATGAAAATAAAAGATATATGGGAATTTGCTCAGACATATTAATTTCTCTGTTGTAGTAAGCTTTGTATTAGGAGTAGAAGTGAGAGAGAAGGAAAATGCAGCTTTAAAAAAAAATTATTTCTATTTTATATGTATGCGTATATTGTCTGCATGTGTGTAACTGCACCTGTGTCATGCAGTGCCCTTGAGGTCAGAAGAGGGAGTCACATCCCCTGGAACTGGAGTTATGCATGGTTATCAGCCATCATGTCAGTGCTAAAATCTGAACTCAGGTCCTCTGCAAGAGCAGCCAGTAAGTGCTCTTTACTACTGAGCCATCTCTCTAGCCCAACTTCTTTTGTCTTGTTGTTTTTTTTTTGAGACAGGAGTCTCTTCCAGGCTGGCTTCTTATGTACCGAGGTTGGCCTTGAACTCTCATCTTCCTTCATCCACCTTCCAAGTACTGGAATTACAGGCATGTGCTATCATGTCTGGATTGGAAGATGGAATTTATTTTATCCCAGACCTCGTATATTTCCGATGAGTTGAAAAAGTAATTCGTGGAGCTGGAGAGATGACTTAGTGGTTAAGATCATTGACTGCTCTTCTAGAAGACCAATGTTTAATTCCCAGCACCCACATGGTAGCTGACAACCATCTGTAACTCCAGTTCTAGGGAACCCAACATCCTCTTCTGACCTCTGTGGGCATTGCACGACACAGATGCACTTACACACATGCAGGGAACACACTTATACACATAAAATAAAATAATAAATAAAGAAAAAGTATTTTTCTTCTGAGGTGTGGAAAGTTAGAACTTACAATTATGTTCACTCCAGAATCATTTACAAGCTACTTCTGTTACCTGTTAAAGAGTTGAAATCCCATAAAAAACTTATTCAGTAGCATTTCTGGAAAGCTGGATAATAAAGTTCTAGATATTAAACCTGGGTTCCTAAACAGCCACAAACAAAAATGTAATCTTAAAAAATAACCATTACAGCTGGGTGTGGTGGTGCACACCTTTAATCCTGGCACTCGGGAGACAGAGGCCAGCCTGGTCTCCATAGTGAATCCAGGACAGCTGGGGCTACAGGGAGACCCTGTCTCAAAAAGACCAAGACCAAAAAAAATATTTTTGGTTCTTTGAGGTTTGTTTGTTTTTTTGTTTGTTAAAAGCTTTCCAGGAATTCAGCTAACAACTGTGAGGACTTTTAGAAAATTATATTGATAGGCACTGAAGAATTCAGTAAGTAAATAAAGCATGTTAATAGGTTAGACTAATAAAGAGCAAGGAATAATATACAAAGATGATAAACTATATAAGAATAGAAATTAGAGATTTAGGGGTTGAAGGTGTTGGAAGGCTCAGTGGTAAAGTGTATATTTATAATGCCCTCACCAAAATAATACAATTTAATTTTTAAGTCTAATTAAAAATAAGCGTTAAGACTGAGGCAGGAAGATCAAGAGTTTGAAGCTAGCCTGCACTATGGAATGAGGCCCTGAATCAAATATTAATAGCAAAAGAAATTATAAAATACTGAAATTCCAAGTTGGGGGAGATAGCTCAGTGGGTTAGGGTACCTGCTAAGAGTAATTTCTTGAGTTTGATCCCCAGGATCCATGTGGTTGATGGAGAGAAAATGGACTCCCCTATGTTGCCCTCTGACAACATACACATTGCATTCCCCTGACAATTAATAAATGAAATAATAAAATTCCACCAGAACACTATGAAAACAATGAGAAAGTAAACCCAGGCTCTTAAGAAAAGTATTTGTAAAGCATATAACTGATAAAAGGTTCGTAACAAGGATATAAAAATTGTTAGAAATTTGAAAAATAAAGATAGTCCAGTAGAAAAGTAAGAAATGTGGGGCTGGGAAAGATGGCTTAGCAGTTAAGAGCACTGGCTACTCTTGCGGAGGGTATGGGTTCAATTCCCAGCACCCACATGGCAAATAACTACCCTTAACACCAGTTCCAGGGGAATTTGATGCCTTTTGACTTCTGTCAGCATTGCATGACACAGGTACACTTACATACATGCAAGTAATTCACTTACTTATACACATAATTAATAAATAAATATATGCCAGGCGTGGTGGTGCACACCTTTAATCCCAGCACTCAGGAGGCAGAGGCAGGCAGATCTCTGTGAGTTCAAGGCCAGCCTGGTCTTCTTATCGAACCCAGTCCAGCTGTGGCTACAGGGAGTCCTTGTCTCAAAAAGACCCCCCCCAAAATATAAATAAATAAATATAATATTTAGAAAAAGAAAAGTAATGTCCATCAACACAGTTGATCAAGAAACCATGGAAGACCAGTGAGCACATACAAATTTATTGAACCTCACAAGTGATTAAGAATAATAGGGTGGGGGGGCATCTATCGTGAGTGACACATGTAGGGCAACTAGATTGCTCTGCTCACGGAAATCGACATCAGGAGATTTCAGAAGCATAATTTTTTTGGTACTTGGGCAGCTGGTGATCATTGGAAAGAAAAAAAAAAAAGAATAATAGGGGAGCTAGAGAGATGACTTAATGGTTAAAAGTACTGACTGCTCTTACAGAGTACCTGGGTTCGGTTCCTAGTACCCACATAGTGTCTAACCACTGTCCAAAACTCCAGTTCTTGGGGATCTGACACACTCTTCTGGCCTCTGTTCGCATTGCACAATGTGGATGCATTTATATCCATGCACACAAAACACATACACATAAAATTTAGATAAATTTTTTTTTTTTTTTTTTTTTTTTTTTTTTTTTTAAAAGTTTTAGCAGGACTTCCTGCTTTCGGCCATTGGCTGCTCTTCTAGAAGACCTAGGTTCAATTCCCAGCACTCACATGGTGGCTAACAATTGTCCATTTATCCAGTTCCAGGGGATCTGACACCCTCTGCTGACCCCTGCGGTCATTCAGTGCGCTTACACACATGCAGGCAATACACTCATACACAAAAACTAATAAAATTTTTTTTTTGGTCTTTTTGAAACAGGGTCTCCCTGTAGCCCCAGCTGGCCTGGAACTCCTGCCTCTGCCTCTCAAGTGCTGGGACTTATAGGCATGCGCCACCAAGCCTGGCCTAAAATATTTTTTTTAAAAAAACCATAAAAAAACATGAGACGCTCTCAGACCATAAGTGGCAGCAAGCCCAAATTGTCATTACCATTTTGGTATACATTGGCATCTCCTGTAATTGAAGATGTGCATTCTTCCTTTCACGCAGCAGTTCTATTCAGATTATATCCCTGCAAGGGGTTAATACACAGGACTGTACCCCACAACACTGTTGGTTGTGAAAAGTTTTTTGACAGTTCATATTAAAATGAATGAGAGTTATGTATCAACATACTTTTGAGTAAAACAAATCAGTTCAGAAAGCTGTTGTTATATTTTTGTTTAGAAATAGAAATTCTTTTGTAAAACTGAAGATACACATTTAAACTTGCATGTGCTTATAAGAAGAAAGGTAATGTGATGGAGTAAATTGCACATAGTATTTCTGTTTTCTACAAGAATTATTTCTCAAGCTGATGTATCTGGATGTTCATGATGCATTTGTTTATACAGTTTTCTGTGTCTAAAATATTGCATGATTGGAGAGTAATTTGTAGTTTTAGTGACTGTTTGAACATTAGAGATAAGGTACATTGTTGAATAACTAATGTATCATCTATTGTACCTTGGAGAAATGGTTACAATTTAGACAAACTGAGATGATGTAGTTTCATACAGGTGTGAAATACAGTATTACTGGATTTTAGTAAGATAATAAAAAATACTCTCTTTATCTAGGTGCCATAATCATATCTCTTCAGATGAAAAAACTTCTGAAAAAAGTCGAAAGGTATTTAAAATATATTTAATGATTATTATTTAATAAAATGAATAATGTTTCTCTTTGGATAGAAACATCAGGTCTATTAACCAATTTTTTTTTTTCAGGATTGTTTTTACTACCAAGTTATTAAAACTAACTTACCCTTCTCCCCTTATACTACTTGCTTTTTCCACTTTTCCCAGAGGATAGAATGTTGAGGAATTAAAATGAATGTAGTTTATGAAAACTGATGTGTTTATTTGAAAATGAATCCTATAGTGTATTGATATAATTTTAAAACAAGCTGGTATTCTTGTTTGCCTAGGCTCATGATTTTTAATGACATACAAATTTAACTATGCCTAGGAGTTCAAGAAACCATGGAATTGCAGACCTTTTTAAATTTTCTTTCTGTACACAGTAAACAATAGCATGGTTGTATAATTCAGGTAGAAGAGAGTTTGGTTGCCTAAACCATTTTCTACATGTTATTCTGTCATCTTATTTTAAGAGATTTAAAGATAACAATGGAGGTTGGGTTGAGAATGGCCTTCTAGTCCAACAAGTCCTTCCAAAGACCTTAGAATGATTAATTTGGCTTTGATCTGATTTGAGGGTTTATATGAGAAATAACTGCATGGTTATAATCACTTCGAAAATAACCACTGTTTTGATTTAGTATTTTCTTTTCTTTTGTTGAGACAGAGTCCCCTGCAGCCCTAGCTTGGCTGGAACTCACTATGTAGACCTGACTGACCCCAAACTCAGAGATCTGCCTGCCTCTGCCTCCCAAGTGCTGGGGATAAAGGAATGCAACACTATGCCAGGCTTTGAAAATATCATATTTAAGTTTTTCATTCTAATAATTTGTGTGTGTGTGTGTGTGTGTGTGTGTGTGTGTGTGTGTGTGTTTTGTTTCGGGAGGGGGTTGAATTTTTATTTTGTGTGTAAGTGTTTTGCCTGCATGTATGTAAGTGCATCTATGCTTGCAGTGCTTGTGGAGGCCAATGGAGGGTATTGAATTCTCTGGAACTGGAGTTATGACAGTTGTTAGCTGCTGTGTAGGTGCTGGGAACTGAACCATTGCTCTTAACTGCTGAGTCTTCTCTCCAGCCCCTGTTTTTTTTTTTTTTTTAATATTTATTGTTTTTATTTTATATGTATAAGTGTATTGCCCGCATGTATGTGAGTGTACCCGTGTTGTGCAATGCTGCGGAGGTCAGAAGAGGGCTTCAGATTCCCCTGGAACTGGAGTTAAGGACAGTTCATAGCTGCCATGTGGGTACTGGGAATCAGACCCGACTCTTCTGCAAGAGCAGTCAGTGCCATCTCTTCAGCCTCCCCCTGTTGTTTTTTAGACAAGGTCTCACTATGTAGTCTAGGCTAGTCTGACCTCTATGTGACCTTGAATAGCAATAATCTTCCTGCCTTAACTTCTCCAATAGTAGGATTAGAGGCATGAGTAACCAGGCAGCAGCCTAGAGCCATTTTTAGATAAACAAATTTTCAGATAGGCACCTAAAAATTCAGTTCATGAATTAGTGTCATAATAACATACACACTGTTGACAATTTCTTTTTAAGCATTTATAGCCTAAGTAAAATATGGGAGACTGTTTTCAAGAATGTACAAATATAAATCACAAATTGGGAAGTGAGAGGAAAGAATAACAGGAAAGATGTTTATAATCATTTTACACAGCGAAGGGGCAAAATAAGCTGCTCATTATTGCTAAAACAAGAAATTAAGATAGAATTATATTCAGGTTGCTCAATGGATCAGTAGAAAAACTAGAGTTAGAACCATATTAGAAAGATGGAATGATAAGATACAAAAGTAATGTGAGCAAAATCTTCTTTTGCATAGCAAGAAATCAGTAGATATTGATAATTCACAATAGGAAAAAGAAGCTTATATAAGTACTTAAGAATCTAACAAAGCCACCAAAAAAGAAAAAGGATCATTACTCCTGAGCACCCTGGTATAGGTGAAGGGCATATATTTCCAATTTATTATAAGTTATTGTTGTATTTACAACTCTATTGCCTATGTTTTCTTTATAAAAATTTTAAGCCTGGAGAGATGACTCAGTTTGTTAAGTTGTACCAACTGCTCTTACACAGGATATGAGTTTGGTTCCCAGCACTGACATCCACATCAAGTAGCTCACAACTGATTGTAACTTCAGCTCCATGCTATTCAACATCTCTGGCCTCCACTGGCAGGTTGCACATATACACACACACACACAATTAAAAATAAAATCTTAGAAAAAAGATTAAAGAAATTTATAGAAAGACGTTTAAAATTAAAATAGAATACATAAGACAAAAGAAACACTAAAGGCCAGGCATGGCTGCAAATGCCTTTAATAGTCAGGTGGATCTCTGTGAGATTGAGGCTAGCCTGGTTTATGTAGCAAGTTCTAGTCCATAGGGATACCGTGTCTAAAAAGTAAAATAAAAAAGCAAAAGAAAAGAATCCCTAAAGTGTGTTGAGGGTCAAGAAAAATTTTCCTCAAAATGTATACAGTTGTAATGTTAATGTTAGGCTTTAATCTATGATTGACAGGGAGGGAGAGGGGTGAGGAATCCAGGTGCAGACAAAAGCCCTTATAATGGCAAGGAGGTATGGTACTGCATAATGTGTTTGAGGACTATTTCACTCTTAGAAATGGTTAGAGGGACTGTGAGATTGCCCAGTAGATAAAAGCACATACTGCAAAGTCTGATGACTTGAGTTCAATACCTAGAATGGATGTGGTAGAAGGAGAGAACCAACTCCTGCAAATTGTCTTCTGACCTCCATGTCTGCATCGTGTCATATTTGTGTCACCACTCTTCCCCCAACAAAATAAGTGCAATTAAACTTTTTTTAAAAACTTTGAGAATTTCATACACGCATATAAAGTGTTTTGATCAAATCCATGCCCATTCCCTCCCCTCTAACACTTCCAATATCTCCCCAAATCTTTTTTCTGACAACTTCATGTTCCCTCCCCCTCTCCCCATTCCCCTTCCCCCTCTCCCCCCCACCTCCCTTGTTTGGACAGGTTCCACCAATTTCTCCAAAAGTGAAACATGATTGCTGGAGTGATAAACCACAGAAAGAAACAGAAGCATTTGCATATTACCGCCGAACACACACTGCCAATGAGCGGCGGCGGCGTGGTGAAATGAGGGATCTGTTTGAAAAATTAAAGATTACATTGGGATTACTTCATTCTTCCAAAGTTTCTAAAAGTCTCATTCTTACTCGGGTAAGTGTTCTATGTAAATCAAAATACAAGCTTGACTAAAAGAATCTTATAGATAATATGAGAAAGGAAATCCATTGTCATATGAGGGAGATTGAAGCAGAGTTACTTGTGTTTAGTAATTAAATAGGGTATAGTGGCTGAACATGTTGGTTCATACCTGTAATACCAGATTTGATAGGTAAGGTGATTGCCGTGAGTTCAAGGCAAACCTGGGCTGCAGAGAATACTGTGAAACAAACAGAACTAGTAAATGCCCAATCAATCCCTTGGGAATAAAAATTATTATTATTTTATGTTGTCACAATAACTTTTCATTGAATATTAAGTTCTTTTGTGTTTGGGAATGGGGGCGTGTGGAGGGTGTGTGTAATGCATGAATGTGAGTCCGCACGTGCATGTTCCTATGAGCATGAATACAGAATCCAGAGCAGGATGTTGTGTATCTTCCTCTATCACTTTCTGCCATATTATCTTGAAACAGTCCCTCATAGAGCTGCTAATGCTATACTAGCTGGCCAAAGAGCTCTTGGGATCTGCCTGTCTCTGCTTCCTAGTGTTGGGTTACAGACACATACAGCCATGCCTAGCTTTTTATTTATGTGCTGAAGATTCAAACTCAGGCTCTTATGCTTGTAAAGCAAATGCTTTTTATCAGCTGATCCATCTCCCTGCCCCAAACAGAGCTATCCTTTCTTCAAATAAAGTCAGAGACTCTGAGGGCTGTGGAGATAGCATGAAGACCTGAATTCTATAGACCCAGAATCCATGCTAAAAAGAAAAAGCTGGGTGTGGTAATATGTACTTTTAATTCCAGCTCTGGGTAGGTCTGTAGAGATCCCTGGGACTTGCTAGTCAGCCAGCCTAGCCTACATGGTAAGCTCCAAGGCAGTGAGAGACCTTGTCTGCCTAACCCCAAAAGGTATACAGTACCCGAGGAATGACACCCAAGGTTTTCCTTTGGCATATATACAAGTGAAAGATTGGTTTAACTCTGTCTGTGTACTAGTTTTTAATACTGTTTTCAATAGCATTTAGAACAGTTTATCGCAGTGCAAAATACATAGCATAAGAATGTTTTAACACACTATTTTGCAGTACTAGGGATTGAACCCAGGGTCTCATGCATGTTAGACAAGCACTTTCACCACTGAGTACATCTCTTAACCTTCAACACACTCTTTTTTCGTTTTTGTTTTTGAGATGGGGGTCTCACTATATGTGGCCCTGGCTGCTCTAGAACTTGTTATGTAGACTAGGCTGGCCTTGAACTCACAGAGATCCTTTTGAGTTCTGGGATTAAATGCATGTGCCACCACACCCGGCTTAATGAATTTCTTGATAAATTGTCAGTCATTTTATTTTATATTTATTTGGTCTTTTTGATACAGAGTCTTCCTGTAGCCCCAGCTGGCCTAGAACTCATTATGTAGACCAGTTTGGCCTTGTACTCAGAGATTTGCCTGCTTCTGCCTCCCAAGTACTGGAATTAAAGGTGTGTGCCACCATTCCCAGCAGTTGTCAGTCATTTTAAAGAAAATGAAATATTCAAGCTAGCAGAAGTTTTAACTTTACATATAGATCCTCTAAAGTAATGCACATCTAAAGTAAGTACACATCAAGAATTTATATTCCTCAGGAGCTAGGGAGATGGCTCGGGATCAAGAGCAATGGCTGCTCTTGCAGAGGACCCAGGTTTGGTACCAGCACCCACATACATGGTGGCTAATAACTATTCCTAATTCTAGTTCCAGGAGATCCAGTGCCCTCTTCTGATGCCCTCAGGCATTGCATGACCCAGAGCTACACTTAGATACTTGCAGGCAAAATACTTGTACACATAAAATAAAAATAATTGGGGCTGGAGAGGTGGCTCAGGAATTCACAGCACTGGCTACTCTTGCAGAGGATCTGGGTTCCATTCCTGGCATTCTCATGGTGTCTAATAATATCCGTAACTCTAGTTCCAGGGGATCTGACACTCTCTTCTGACTTTGGCGGTTGTGTGACACGCATGCACTTACATACATGTAGGCAATGCACTCACACTCAAAAATAAAAATGATAAATTAAAAAAAAATAATGAAAAAGAAGCTTGACATGGTGGCACACTCCTTTAATACCAGCACTCTGGAGGCAGAGGCAAGCAGATCTCTATGAGATTGAGCCCATTCTGGTCTACACAGAGAGTTCCAGGCAAGTTGGATCTACAAGGGATACCCAGTCTCAAAAAGCAAAAAACAAAAAAAGAAAGACTGGAAAACAAACAAAAAAAGGAAGCATGTCCCTCTACTGAAATGTTACCTCCAACAGATTATTTTAAAATTTGATTGAAATCTTAAGCAAAATGTGAATGTGTTGTATCTCTCTTTTTTTAAATTTAAATTCATTTAGAAATAATCATTGTTTACATTCCCTAAAATTATAAGCTAGAAAACTTAATGTAACTTAACAAAAAAAAATTGTCAGGCTAGGGATATACCTCAGAATGAGATATTCCTCACTTCCTTAGCGTGCACAAGTCCTTAGGCTCAGTTCCCAGCACTACAATCAGTGAATCAATCAGTAAATCAATTTCTGAAATGTCAAGTTTTATAATGTTCTAAAATACTAACTTAAAATATTTTTATTAAAAATACTTTATTAAAAATATTTCCAGCCGGGCATGGTGGCGCATGCCTTTAATCCTAGCACTCAGGAGGCAGAGGCAGGCGGATCTCTGTGAGTTCAAGGCCAGCCTG